AAGTCTTGGAAAGTTCCTTCTCTACCTAAGAAAAAAGAGACACTTTCTTTTCCTATACTCTTGAGGGCTTTGATACAAAGAAAAAATACCTACAGCTAAAACTGTAGACCAGGTGGGGTCTAAGGACAAAAGGTCACTCATCCAAAGTTGTGGAAAAGAGAACCAGTCTAACACAGCTATAAACCAGATAGGACAGTTAGATAATCAAATATGCTTGCTCTATTTTCATTCTTTTGCTGTGACAAATACTCTGATAAAGGTAACTTAGGGGAAGGAAGGGCTTATGTGATTTACAATGCCAGGTTATGATCCATTATTTAGGGGAAATCAAGGCAGAAAATCAAGCAATAATCACCTCACACCCAGAGTTGAGAGTAGAGAGAGAATAAGCATATTCTTACTTGCTTGCTGTTTATGCTCAGCTAGCTTCCTAATTCTTATACAGTTCAGAACCTAGCATAGGGAATGGTGCTGCCTAGGCAGCTGGTACATTAACAATCAGCACCCCCCACCACCCCCCACCCCTACAGACACACACGAACGCGCGCGCGTGCGCGTGCGCGCGCGCGCGCACACACACACACACACACACACGCACACTCACGCACGCACGCACACGCACACACTTGCTTATAGGCAAGTCTGATCTACATAATTCCTCATAGGTTGTAGGAAGTTGACATTTAAAATTAACCACCACAATCTACCAATTGTCAATTTGACACACAAACATCACTTTTAAACCATAACCTTACATTCCTGGTCTCCAAGGTCTCATTTATCTCATAATGAAAAATATAGCACAATGTTAAAAGTCCCCAAAGTCTTTAAAAATCCTAATACTTTAAAAGTCCAAAACCTTTTAACAGTGAGCTCCTATAAAATAAAATCACATATGTAAACATTCTTATTCCAAAAGGAAAAAAAATCATTGAGACAGGGTTTCATATAGACCAGGCTGGCCTCAAATTCTCTTTGTAGCTGAGGATAATCTTGGCCTTCTGGTTCTCTTGTCTCTCCCTTCTGAATGCTGGGATTATAAAACATACCACCATGCCCATTTATGCCATGCTGGGGATCATGCTAGACAAGCCCTCTACCAATTCAGCTGTATCTCAGCCTCCAAATCAAGAATTTCTGATGCGGACAGTATCTGCTGCTACAGCAGCTATTGAACTCAGTCACTCTTTTTAAAAGCTCATATTTTAGACTTTTATTGTTTACTTTCTGCATTCCACTGACTTTAACAGTGAGCCCATACCAATATTTTACTACTTATAACAATTTCCATGTTGGTTTCATTTTTCAGATTCATGACACACAACATAGTTTACTGATGGGATCTTTTACTCTGAAGAACATTTTGAAAGCCATATAATTTATTAAAACACTTCTGTGTTTTCTAAATATGCTAAAGGAAAATAAATTTCAATGGCCTCTGTGAAATAACATCCCTGATTCATATCAAATCAGAAAAATCAACACCATGGTCACATAAGCACCAGAAAAAGCATGTTTAACAAAAATAAAAACCCTAGAAAGTGCTCTTGTGCAAGCAGTCTCAGCACAGTCAAAGCTGGCTAACTTGTAAGACAGCTTTTAAGGTCTGAAGCTAACATTTCTATAGAAATATTAACCCTGAGTCATCCAACAGGAGCCAGTCCATTAACATCTTGTGACACTGAGCTGAAGACGACCATTTGAGCTACACCAAGACAGGAGACTATTGTTTCCTTTGGAAACTACAATCCTTCTCCCCCACCACTAGCACCAAGTCCCAGGGGACAGCACCTACCTAGCCATGGACTTTGTTCACTTCTTTTATCTCTCACTCCCTAACTCAGCAGGTCAGCCACACTGAACTTCTTCCTGTGGGGTCTTCCCACTAAGACACTCAAGTCAGAACTGTTCCCTTCCTGCTTTTGTGAGTGAGCTCCACTCAGCTCTCTGGTCTCAGCCAAAGCCTCCTTAGGAATGCTATCTAGAGCTCCACACTGAGCTGCCTACTCCTGCTACAGGTCTTCTCCCTCATACTTACAGGTGAACATTTCTGTCAATCTCCCCCTTGAGCTCCACTATGTGATGGATTCATTTAACCCAAAACTTGTAACAATGTTTGGCATTAAAGATGCTTAATATATTTATTTATATAAAAGGATTTTCATGAGAAAAACTATTTTAATGCTTTTTAAATATAGTCTGTTGAATTTTTGTCTTGATCTATGATAACTAAAGAAGGAGGTGGTTTTCAAATGATTTCTCCACTCTTGAATTTATCCTTAGAAATTATTCTTAGGGTGAAGACTTTGAATCCCTTCCCCATTGCTGGTTTATAGTCACTCAAGTGAGTATTCAAACTCTAGCAAACAAAAGCATATTTTCTAATACTAAATTGATCCTTCTTACTGGTAGTTCCATTAATTCCCATGATATTTACTACAAGCAACAAAATGCCAACCCCCAGATGTGTATCTCTAGGTATGATTTTTTTTCCTCTTGGGCTTAATAACCACATTTCCAGCTGTCAACAGTTTTATCTGGGTATCATTCATCCATGTTAAATCATGTGTCAGGACCTCAATAATTTTCAATGTTAAATGATATTCCACTGCATATATATAACATTCTGTTCATCCAACAAGTCATTCATTGGTAAACAATTTGGGTGGGCTATACTGATAGCTACTAGTAATAACATCACTATGACTTTTTAAGTACAAGTTTTATGTGGCTGTACGGTTTTATTTATCACAAGTAGCTACATAGGAACAGAATTGCTAGGAAACCACATGCTACTCCAGTACAACAAACAACTTGAGTGCAGACTGGAATCCATATTAAAAATCAAATCTGTAATCCCAGCACCCCTACTTCACAGTGAGAAGTGGAGACAGGAGAATCCCCTGGAAGGTTGGGGGCCAAACAGCTTGCAGTATGCAGCACAGCAGCAGAAATCAAAAGACAGAGACCCTGCCTCAAGACAGGTAGAAGGGAAGACTTGATTCTGGAAAGTTGTCCTCTGACCTAGATACACAAGCACACATAAAAGAAAATATTTACACTTTTCTCTTTAGTCTGAAAAGCCTAATGATTTAGAACATAAATTATGGCCAGGCTTTATTTAATGCTGTATAAATATGTTACAATAGCTCCATTAAATATAAAAACAAAACCAGAAAATTCCAACTCTGAGAAGTTAAAGTATTTCATACTAATATTATTTTCAAAACTATACCTGGTTTCTTTTACTGTAAAATATGCAAAATACTTAATTAGGATCAATAAAGACTGTACTGGGGACAGATGGAGCCCATGTTCTGTATTTAGAACTACATAAATTTTTATTTAGAAAGGGCAGTGAGTCACAATACTGTTGGGAAGGTACACCACCTTGTTCTCTGAGTACCGTCTGTACAGCAATATAGAACTGGAGGGTGCACTGCCCTTTTCGGCAAGCTTCATGCCTCAGGATTAAAAAGGTATAAGCTAGGCTTGGAGAGTATAGCCTGAGGTGACCCAGGGATGTCCAGATGCAAGAAAAGGCAGTGTTTCAGTTCAATGTAGGGCTCTTTCACACTGTGAATTTTTTGTACTTGAGGCGGGGGGGGGGGTGTCTTTGGGAGCAAGGATCTGAGTTGCTTCAAGACTCAGAGGGCAACTCCAACACTGAGCTACAGGGGGGGGGGGGGGGGGGGTGTCTTTGGGAGCAAGGATCTGAGTTGCTTCAAGACTCAGAGGGCAACTCCAACACTGAGCTACAAAGAAAGTTTTCTGAAAACTAAAAAAAACATAAAAGGTCATAAGAGATCTGGAGGAAGTTGTAGCCAGGAAGACCATATATACCAGATCTAAAAGACAAGGTGAAAAAAAGGTAGGAGGCAGGGGAATGAACATGAAGCAGGGAAGGAGCAGAGTAAAAACAGGAAAGGGTGTGGTAAAGCCAATAGCCAAAGAAGAATGCCTAGTGTGGAGTGGGTGTGTCTGCTTAAAGGAGCAGTGGCAGCTTAGGCTTCTTTACTCAGAAGCACTCAACTGCATGAGTCAGAACTCTGGTGGCCTCCTTCGAAGGCCACCCTCTCTGGTCTTTCTAGCTTTCTCGGTTACTTAAGCCCCATTGCCAATCATTTCTGCAAAAAGCACCCTCAGAAAAGTCTGACAGATCTCGTCCCACTTCGGATTCAAACCTTCCAATGGTTTCCCCAAGGCACAGTAAAACCCTAAATCCTTTCAGTGGCTCTAACCGATTACCATTGTCCTCTGCACACACTCCCCAATGCCAGGGCTGCTTCAAGGCTTCAAGGATCATTGCTGTCTCCTGACCTTGGGATGTCCATGTACTGTTATGCCTCTGGATACTGTCCAGGGTCTGCTCAGAAGTCATTTCTTCCAAGAGCCTTTTTCTAATTATAGTATTTAAAATCAGCATCTGTATCACTCTATCTCTCCCCTTCTTCATTTTTCTTTGTAACATTTACCATTTGGAGTTATATATGTACATGCATACATGTGTATATATACTGGAAAAATATCACACACACACACACACACACACACACACACACACACACACACACAATTTACCATACAACTAACGTCTATCAAGACTGAGACTGTTTCCATCCCTGCTTTGACTTAGGTAGGTAGCAACAGTATCTCCAACAGTATCTGGGAGATAAATGCTTAACAAATATTTAATTGATGAATGAAAGAACAAACAAATTTAAGGTCCCGCTTTTTTTCTCTACTCCCCTGTCTATTCTCTCCTCATGTATTAACTATATTCCCAGCTTCATGCCTTGTCCAGCATAACCTAGGAACTGATCATCCAGCTTTGCCTACTCCTTGGCCTTAACTTCTAAACTTTGCTTGGCTTGTACCTCTACTACACACGTAAGCATCCACCTAAGGATCTCCAGCACTTTCACACCCAATCTGAAAATCAATGTTATAGAAAGCCCTAAGGAGAAGGAGTGGGATCCTACAAATGCACAGCTCCCCACCTGGGTAAGTCCTTCTCACTGTTGTTCATCGATTCTTCCTTGGGTTTCAATCAGGTCCTTCTCTTACTTCCCACAGAATCAATTCCAAACTTCCACTAGTTTTTTCAAATTTCCATTTAGCAGTTTACATCACTCTATAGAAACAAAGGAAATGTTTATTAGGTCAGATTCCCTCCATTTCCCGCTTCCTCAAACAACAACCATATAAGAATTCTTACCTCCTTCCTGGTAGCACCAAGGAAGCAATGCAGCACCTGTCACTGACCTTCAACCAGTGGAAATCAAGCCAACTGCTTTTTAGAGACCTGATGTCATTTATCCACTTATGGCTCTCTATCTTTTTTCTTTCTTCTAACCCTCCAATGACTAATGCTTGATGCACAAACACAAGGATTTAAATTAGATCAAATAGAACCTGCACCACATCCACCAAAAAAGCCACACATGGTGGGGCTTGCCTAATCCTCAGAGCTGAGGAGACAGAAACAGGTGGATCCTTGTGACTCTTTGGCCTGCCAGCCTAACAGGGGCAGCCAGCTCCAGGTCAATTAGAGATTAGAAACTCTATCTGAAAAAACAAACAAACAAACAAAAAAAAAAACCTAAAAAACAAGGTGGGAGCCAGAGATGGTTCCTCAGGCAAAGACACTTGCCACCAAGCTTACCAAACTTTGGTTCAATTCCCTAAGATTCATATGGTGGCAGAGGAGAATCAAATGCAAGCTGTCCTGTTCTGTAGAAAAGGAGGCAGGAGAGAAAGAAGAAAGGGAGGGGGATACAAAAGAAAACCAAGGTGGATAGTGCCTAAGAACAATATGAAGGTTGTCCTCTGGCTGTGCACATGTACCCAGACAGACACAGATGTACATACACAAAGAAGTTACATCAAAACCTTATTTTTTCTTCTCTAATTTCTAAATGAATGCCCTGTAAGTTTATTTTAACATCAACACAGGAAAAAAAGGTCTAACTAAAATATATTACTATGAGAGATTAATTAAGACAAAAAAATGTTTTATAGTAGCTCCAGCAGTCATAAATAGGTTTTCATTTCATTCTGAAGAAACATTCTAAATATTAAATAGCTGAAATAATGTAAATAGTGTTATAATAATCGTGATAAAAGGAATCAGATATTAAAATGACCATGCCATGCAAAAATTATGCAATAAAGTCATTAAACTTTTAAGCCATTTCTAAAAGTAGTCAATTCTAACTGCATCTCTAACAACAGCAAAACCTACAAGTTTTTAGATCTGTATGTAATTGAGCATCTATGAAGACTGATTCTAGTGGGTATAAGACACAACACACTCCCTCAAGAAAGGAAGTAGACAAGAAATAATGCAAAAATATGCTAACATAAATGTCAATAAAGAGTACATAATCTTCAAGAAAGGAAGATTGTTCTTTGGCTGGGAACAGGTAATCACAAAACTGGTTTTCAACCTGCCACAATCAATCAACCTTTAAAGTCTATTCAACATTCTATTCTACATACTCAGTTGAGAATTTCAGCCAGTTAGCAGCTACCTTGCTTTGGAAACCTCCACAAAGGCAGTCAATCTCCAAATTCCAAGTTTAAAGTCAGCCAGTCCTTCAATTATGTCACCTTTGAAAATAAGGCAATTTTTAAAATGTCATGCTTCCTTAAAAAGCCAGGAGGACTGTGTTCTCCCTTGCTTAAATAAGCAATCCCAGCTTTGCATTAGCTCTATTTGTGTAGTGATCTCTTCATGTCACATCTGCAAATATTATGGTTATTTGAATATTAATATTTTTCTTCTTGGAAGTAAAAAGAATTGTTTGTTATAATAATCCAGTTTCATAAAAGGCAGAACTTAAGACCTTTTAAGTATAATTATAGTAATCCTCACCCACAACTCTCCCACCCTTAAGACTTATAATCTCATGATCAATGGTCACAATTTCAGTCAATGAATGTATTATATAAATATTAAAACATCTGACCACTAAAACTTATACCAAGAATCAACTGCTATTAAATAATCTTCAAACAAAATAACTGCTTAAATACTTTTTAAGTAGATATCTTTTTTCATCTAATGAAAATGATGGTCCAGCTTGGTTTTTATAAAATGTAAGAATCTTTAATCCCCTGCACTTGGGAGGCAGAGGTAGGTGGATCTCTGTGACTTCGAGGCCAGCCTGGCCTACAAAGCAAGTTTCCAGGACAGTCAGAGCTGTTACACAGAGAAATCCTGTCTCACTGCCCCCTTCCCAAAAGTGTTAAAATGTAAAAATCAAAAGTCTTATACTGTATTTATTTGGGCAAACTGATAAACTCTTGTTTACAATTTAAAAGTACCTATAACCAGCTTCTATTACCTCACAAAAGAGAAACTCATTAGAATAGGATAAGTCTGCTTATCAGAAGGAAAATAACAATAAATTCCATACCATCATTCTGTCTGTTGTTAAGTGTGTCTGTGGATTAGATCAGCACAGGAAAAAAACTAAGAGAAATACCCTCAAATTTGACATGAAAGATAGCTAACCTTTCTATTATCTCTTTTTTAAATTTGAATCCACACTATCAAGAATAACTAGAGACTCAGATTCAAAGGGGGTACAAACGAGAATACTCTCCCCAACATGAATCAGTCAGAGAGCAAAGTGACTGCTCCACACAGACTTCCTCGCCTAGTTACAGGTAAATACAGCTCAGAGTTGTATCTGTAGACTGCTTCTGGACTTAAGTCTTCTCAAAAATGAAATTCTAAACAGCACATCTTGTTACCATATAGTTTAACAAAACTCAGGGAATCCCCACTCAAGTCAAATCTGGAAGGATCACAAACACTGACTTTACCAGGTGACTCAAGTGTCGACAGCCATGTAAGTCTATGTGCCAAGAGACTAATGCAGTCAAAGTATAGATTTGATGAATTTAACTGAAAGTTGTCAAATTCAGGTCCTGGAAATATCTGAAAAGGCAGTATAATTCAGTGGAAACAGTCAAGGATACACATTAGAGTTGGGGGGCCTTGCTAGATAACTATTTTAAACCAGTTCCTTCTCTATCAGACAGATACTAGCTTCATTTCACAGGACTCTTAGGAAGATGAACTGTTACCAGCTATAGGTAACTATAAAGTAGTCCTAGGTATTAAGACTTAACTCTAAGTTCACTTTGCTTTTTGTCATTAAATTGTTCTAACACATAGGAGAAATCATTTGACCTGCAGTATTTTCTTATCTGTCAAATTATGAAGATAACATATGCCCACTATATCTTCCAGATGTTGCCAAAAATCACATATGAAAACTCCTAGAGAAAAGATTTTTGAAAAATTAATAAATATGATATGTAACTGAGGTAGCTAATTCAGTATGTATAAAACATGAAAGAAATTTGGGGCTGAAAAGACAGCTCAGCGGTTAAAAGCACTCACTGCTCCTGGGTTTGGTTCCCAGCACCTACATGGTACTCACAACCACCTGCAACTCCAGTTCCAGGGGTAGTCAATGCCCTCTTCTAGCTTCCATGGACACTGAGTGTGTGTGTGTGTGTATGTGTGTGTGTGTGTGTGTGTGTGTGTGTGTGTGTGTGTGTGTCATGCAGATAAAATACTCATACACATAAAATAAGTAATTTCTTTAAAAGTCTGCATTTCTAAAGCATTAACTGAAACAAGAAAGAAAAGAGAGAGAGAAAGGAATGAATGAAAAACATGCATTATGGCTTGGAGCTTAAATGTCTTCCAAAGGTTCATATGTGCAAGGTTTGGTGGCCAGCCTACAATGCTGGAACTTTTAGGAGGTGGGGCTTACTCAGACCTCCTCCATTCTAAGTTCCTCCCCACATAGTACTGTGCTACCACAGACCCAAAACAATAAGGCCAAAGGCACATGTATATCAATCTTAAGAAGCTGATTAACAGAGAAGTCAAATAGTAATGTGTGGAACTTTGGCACAACACATTTCTAAACAGTGGAAACCTGCCTGAGTATTTCACACATGGCCCCTCCATTGCCCTTTGTTATGCAAGCAGTAACATTTCAAGCCAGTTCCCTTATTTCACTAGTAAGCCCTGTCAACACTGAGGTAATAGAACTGGAGAAAGTCATCACTCCTTAAAGATAGTCAAATATCAGAATTTTTCATTTGGTAAAATTTTATCAGTGCCAAATAAAACTAATGCAAATTTAGTAAAATATGCAAGATTTTGAGTAGTTCTTTTGTTGAAAAGGACTCTCGGGGAGCTCCCAATCCATCATGCAATTGTGTAGGCCCTCTTTTGCTCCTTTGCCCTTTTCACACCCCATCTCTCAAGTGTGGGGCAGGGGGAAAGGGTGTGGGAAGCCAGAAGGAACTAATCAGCATGGATTTATGCATTCATTCTACTCTAAATCTATTCCCACAGGTTCTTCCTCATGCTATGCTCCTCCAGAAAGAGAACTATGTTTATTCATCTCCAAATTCCCCAAACCTAACCAATATCCTTCATATAAAGTCACCCTTACCAGCTATGAATAGCAGGCAATGGAAGGAGACTAGAGACAGAGATGTGAAAGAGAAACTCATCCCCCTGAACCCACACTGTGGAGATGGGAGACAGAATGGATGTTAGCTGCAGACATCCAATCAAACAAGGAAGAACCAACTAGCACAGTCCTACCATGTATGCTTCCTTCTCTTGCCTCTTGTTATCAACCAAGGATCAGAAAAGAACAAAAGCAGTCAGTCTTTTCAAAAATATGTGCATTTCCATCCTTGACCATAGTCATTTCACATACACTCAACATGTCCACGTGAGCTAGTTACAGAGCTTAACCTTCATGGACTCCAAAGCCTAAGGACTTTGGGTGTGAATCCCACTTCTAATACTCACAAACTCACGACAATGGGTAAGGACTCAAGTGGTCAGAGGCTTTGCCCTACTAGATGACTTAAGGCAGCTCCCTGTGCCTCCATTTTCTTATCCGCAAAATGGGAACAGCAAGTTCTTAGCACTTACAATTGTTTTAAGGATTAAAAGAATATATGTAAAAATACGTAAAACCTTGCCTAGAATATAAAACCTTGCCTAGAATATAGTCCATCTATACATTATGCTAATTATTATTACTGTTACAAACACTCATAATTACTAATTTAACAAGCATCTAAAACTTCAAAGTAAAACTGGACTTTTATTTTCCCTCCCAAATCTGTCATCTCAGAAAACAGCATCACTCTTCTAGTTCTTCCACCCTAAGTCTAAAAAATTATCATTCTCCCCTTCTCTCAGCATCCCCTTCAGTAAGTCCTGTCAATACAGCAGGACTCCACAACTGTCTCCACTAGTCTAAGGTACCATACCATCTCCCCATCTCAAGGTACAGCACAGCAACAGCCTCTTATCTCCTCATTTTCACGGCCCCTCCACCACTCCAAGACTCTACAGTTAATTCTCCATGGAGGAAAGTAGAAAACCGATACCATTCCCATGATGGTATAGTCTTGTGGTTTTTCCATTACACTTAGAAGTAACATGTCTACTTGGACACTGGCTCCAAGACCCCACCAGGGTCTATCAGATGTTTCAAGGTTACATGTCAACACTTTTCTTTCTCCTTCCTTACTATGCTCTGAGACAGAATAGTCATTGGGAACATAGCCTCTCAAATCAGATGACCTCAATTCAAATGGTAAAAATTATAGCAGTGCCAAATAAAACTAATGCAAATTTAGTAAAATATGCAAGACTTTGAGTCTCTTAAGCTTTTAGCCGGAGTACACATCTAACATGTGCCAGTTTCCTCATCTACAAAAAGCAAAGGCAGTTTTCTTAACTTAAAGGTGGTTGTAAAGCATTCAGTGTTTAGAAATGTGCTTTGCATATGGGAAGCTCTCCAGGCCAGGTAGTTATACTACCCCCATCCACACTCCCACATGGAGATTGAACCCAGGGCCACAGCTCTACCACTAAGCTATACATTCCTCAGTCCTACTTCTACCCAGGCTGGCCCTAGCCTCCCTCTGCAGCCAAGGCAGTCCTTGAACTTGTGCTCCTCCTGCCTTGGCCTCCCAAGGCGCTTGAAAGCCACCAGCTGGGCTCCTGATATGCTCCCACTCGCCTCAGAACAATTCAACTGCCCTCCTTCCCACGGTCCTCCCTGAGACGATTAAAACAACCTTCACTGTTCCCTCACCATCCTCTTAGCTTCATTTCACATGAAGTAAGTTTCTAGGCCTATTCCTTGGTGTCTACTTCTCCACTGGAATTGAACTCTGTTGGGTGTAATCTGTCTTCTTCCCCTGTGCCACACTATCTCTAGTTCTGACTCAGAACCTCACTTCTGAATGCAGTATCTCAACTAGGGTGGTGGCTGATGCAAACAACATCCCACACTTAGAAAGCTGCCTGTGCTCTCCGTCATGGTCTCATTTGATCCTTGTAAAAGTAACAAAAGCTACACTATCATCTCCCATTTAGAGACAGAGGAAAAAAAAAGTTCCAA